AGGAAAAGGAAGGAAAAAAACACAAGATATTTGCAAATCATTTCTGATAAGGTATTTTCATCCAGACTAAAGATTTTTCACAATTAAATTTAATTTTTCACATAATTCAGTTTTTAAAAATAGGCAAGATTTAAAAGGATTTCTCCAAAGAAAATAGTCACCAAGCATATGAGAAGATGTTTGCCATCATTAGTCACTGAGGAAATGCAAATCAAAACCATGAGAAAACATGTCACACCCACCAAGATGGCTTTAATCAAAAAAATTAACAAGGAATGTGGGCAAGGAAGTGGAGACTTGGACTCTTTACACACTGCTGGTATAAAACGGTATAGTGGCTCTGTGAAACAATCCAGCCATTTCCCATCAGTTACCATATGATGCAACAAGTCCAATACAGAGCATTTACCAAAAAGAAGTACATTATCCACATGAGAACCTGTACATCAATATTCCTAGTATGATCATTGCTAATAGCCAAAGTAGAAACAAGTCAAATAGCCATCAACCGTGAACTGATTAAAAATGTTGCTATCATATACACAATGTAATATTGGTTACTCATAAAAAAGAATGAAGCCCATCAGCAGGGAGGCTGAGGCAGGTGAGCTCTTTAAGTTCCAGACTAGCTGGGGCTACAAGGAGAGGAAGACCCTGTCTCAAAAAGACGGAAAAAGAAAAAGGTGGGGGGAATGTCAGAAGTGAAAAAGAACCAAACAAATGGTACAATCTACACAAGAAATACCATAAATACCATAAATGTAGCCTTCTTTTTAAAAGTGCACAGGCACATGTGAACAGATTAGTCACCAATACTTCAGCCATTAAAAAAGCACTAACTGTAAAAGGAACAAAAACCCACTCCAAAACGGGCTCCTCTCACCATCTGCTGAACCCTTCCCCATTCAAAAGGCTGTTGAGTCTGTAGGTGAACAAGCAAGTTATCTGGGGATGGCTTCTGGCAACAAACCGAAGAGGTTGACCACAACCCAAAGTACCTGACAGGTCTGAAGTATGACTCGTCCAATTATATTTTCAAAAATAACACACCCAAACCAAGTTACTGACAAGGGTCTAAGAATCTACACACAGTCTCATTTAGCAAATAGAGGTCCATCTAGCTAGCACTCAAAAGGGATCTAAAAATCATTCATGGTCTGAACTGAGAAAACTCACATGGGGAAGAAATTCACAATCATACATTAATTGATATCAATAACAGCAAAGCTGATAGCAACTTCAGAGTCAAGCAATCAGAGGGCCTCCATATTCTGAGGAGGCGCGAGCGCTCACACATACACGCGTACACTCGCGCAAAATCAACATATTTTTGTGCCTTAGTTTTAAAAGTTGGTGTGAAAAACATCAAATGTATAACAACAGCTTCAAGCAATAATAAAACCTACACAGTATACATTAAAACAAAAATTCTCCATAGATAAAACCTATATTCTACACTTCCCAGAGAGGCTTCGTTTGCTTAAAACAGGGTCTTCCTGTAGTCCCAGCAGTCCTGGAACTCACTACATAGACCAGGCTGGCCTCGATCTCAGAGAGATCTACCTGCCTCTGCCTCCTGAGTGCTTATATGCAAGGTAACATTGTAGCATTTTTTTTTTATTAATTCCTGTTCTTCACAACCTTATACAGCAACTATTACTGGACAGTTTTATGTTGGGAAAACTGAGGCACAGAACAATTAAAGAACTTGCTCACGATTATATAGCAGGTCAGAACAGTGAGATGGCTCACTGCGTAAAGGTGCTTGTGGCCAGGCATTGGCACCCTAAGTTCAATCCCCACAACTCACATGGTGGAAGGAGAGAATCAACTCCCTCAAGTTGTCCTCCAGCCCTGGCATGTGAGTGCCCTCAATCAATCAATCAATCAATCAATGTAAAGAGTCTGTGCTGCAGTCAAAGATTTAAGTATTGTGTCACATACTTAAAAAGAGAAGGGAGTGCTGGAGAGATGGCTCAGCAGTTAAGAGCACTGGCTGCTCTTGCAAAGGACCTGGCTCGGTTCCAGCACCCATGTGACAGCCAACAACCCACTTTAACTCCAGTTCCAGGAAATATGGCATCCTCTTCTGGCTTCCAAGGGTATTGCATGACATGAGTGCACTTACACACATGCAGGCAAAAACACACATAAAAAAATGTTTAATCAATTTTTTTAAAAAGTCCATAGCAGGTGAAAACACATGCCAGGTATATATGCTACCAGTAACAGGGAAAAAAGTAAATTTTAAATGACTAAAACAAAACAAAAACTGAAAGAAAGAAATCAAAAATTATGCCAGCATTTGAAAAGTGGGAGATTTGGTGCACAAGAAGAAAGAGTAAGTTGGGTGTGGGGTAGGGTCTGGAAAAGAGGGAAGGGATACTAGGCTCAGACCTGTGCAGTCTGAAAGGGAAACAAGATGTTGACAGTTGCTAACAGAGAACTGGAACTCACAGAAAAGGACACATGGCAGTTTTGGAAGCTGTCAGCAAAGAGGTGAAAGGTGACAGCATGAGGTGGGCCTGTAGTGGACACAGGGCAGAGGACTACTCGAGCAACACACAGCAACCAAGAGCAGAAGGGAGCAGCCAGTAAGAACAGGCACGATTAGACAGGCGAGATTAGACAGACTGAGCAGCTTCCCAGCTGGTACACTCAGATATAATCCCCTGAGCCCTGAGAGCAACCGTCAGTCACCTTCACTCTGTGCAGATTCCCCATCAAAGGTAATTGTGCTGGCGAGTTATAGGAGGAAAGAACCTAGGGAAGTCCTGAGATATGAACCCCAAAGCTGAATGGGAAAGGTTAAAAATGAGATGATTTGTGTAACAAGTGCTGCTGAACTCAAGAGGCAGGAGCCACAGAGGACAACGGTACTGTAGGTGGTGTGCACAGCCACAGCGGGGCTCACACTGGACTTTCCTTTCAAAGTTTTCTGAAAATAACGGTAACCAAGCTAAGAGTAGGGTGTGGAAATAGGGATGAGTTTTCATCCGAGGGGAAAGAAACACATGAGCAGCACAATGAATCACACTCGTTTTTCAATAGCCCTCCAAGGGAACAATGGAAACATCTTGGAAGGTTGGCAAAGTGTGCGATGGCAGGACACATGTGGAACTGGGGATCGTTCCATCACATCCAGTTCTCTCTGGGAAGTTAACTCTTGTTTCTAACACCTGGCAAAAGAGAAAAGTAACTATCCCTCAGTCTTTTTATTATTTTTATGTGTATGAGTGTATGGCCTGCGTGTAAGTGCGCCCGGGTTGTGCAACACCCTGGGAGGTCAGAAGAGGGCATACATTTCCCCTGGAACTGGAGTTATAGACAGTTGTTTGTTGCTATGTGGGTGCTGGGAATTGAACCTGGGTCCTCTGCAAGAACAGCCAGTGTTCTTAACTGCTGAGCCATCTCTCCTGCCCCTCAGTCTTTGTTGTCAATGCTTAACTGTTTTAATGTTATTGACTCCTTTTAAATTCTTACAAAGGTGCAAACTGAAGCACGGAAAATCTAAATAGCTACCCAAACCCCCACAGCTAGACTACAGAGGTACGCTTCAAATTTGAGTCTGATTCTGGAGTCTAACTTCTTAAACATTAGGACACGATAGCCAGTGTTTTCAAGATGAAATGACTGAAGAGACTTGCAGAGTCTGACAGAGTTCCACATCAACATGAAAAGCTGATTTCACTGCTGTCCACCTGTATCCACTTATTCCAATCAAAAACAATGGAGAGAGACCAGAGAACAGCAGTCAGGGTCTGATAACTTCTGGCCTAGGAACTTAGTGGATGGCTTCAGCATCTCTCCTTAAGAATTTGAGAACTGTGAATTCTCAAATCAGAACCCATGTTAGGACACAAAAGGTTAGTCCCAAACCAAATGAACTCATTCAGCAAAAGCACTTAAAACTTTAATTGTAACTGAATTAATGTTCTCCCTATTTATCAATAAGCAGCAGATGCAGTAGAAGGATCAATCATATCATCTTACACCTGCTGGTTGATATTGCTTTTTGAGTGTTCCCTACAAGTAAATGACTGTGATTACTCCTAACTCCTAGGCTAACAACACCTACTTTGGGCACTGGAGAAACTCCCAGAGGCAAAGAACAGGCCTGTCTTAAGGTAGGGCAGTTTATGTAAACAATCCTCTTTGAGCTAAGTGGATTAAACAACCAATCAGCATCTTTCAAAAGGACATCTGGAAAAGCAACTCCTTCCCAGAGCACCAGGTCTCCACTGCCCACCTGAAAGACAGTATCTGCTTCATTAGAATTCGAGGATGAAACATGAAGTTTGAACTTTTTCATCTGGAAAATTGACTGGCAAGTCCTCCTGGAACCCTCAATAGGCAATTTTAGAAATACACGTGGGTTTTGATAGAAAAACGTGGTAACTCAAAAAGGAGATATGTAGAATAGCCTTTACCTTTCTGATACTCATTTCACTGCCTAAAGTTTCTGGGAAGAAATTACTTGTATGACAGTGTCTGACTCACTCAAAGCGTGCAAGCTATAAACGGTCTGATGAGGGCTCCCAGGGCCTGCCTCCCTGACCTCGTGGGGTGGCTGACTAATGCACGGTTGGTGTGTGAACTCACTCCGAGGATCTCAAAAATGCCAACCAGCAGGCCCACTGAGGGATGGGGTCTGCGCCTATGTCGGGGTGGGGAGGGACGGTGGGGAGGTGGGGGGGAGACGACCCCCGAAAGTCAACAGGACCTCTTTAAACAAACTTTTACTCCGAGGATTAGACAGTGGGCGCACAGCAAGTGGCTCTGCAAACGCACCACCTCCCGACACCTCAAAGTGTTAGGAACTTGGATGCTCGCAGACACAACCCGGCCAACGGATTCCGGAAAGACCAGAAGGAAGCCCCACCAGCCACCCCGAAGGGCAACGGCGGGCTCGAGCCCCACGTCCCGAGTCCCGAACCGCAGACCCCGGGAGGACTAGGCGACCCGAACCGCGGGGCCCGATCCACCGCGGCTCCACTCACCAGGAACTGGAGCATGGTGACGGTGGAGCGGGTGACGAGGGTATGAAGGGCGCTACAGCTGGTCAGCTCCGCGGGGCCTCCTCCCCTGCGCGAGGGCGGATCCCGCCGTCGGCTTCCGGGTCACGCCCCGCCTTCTCCGTGCCCGGAAACGACTCGCGGCGTCGCGGCGCCCCCTGCCGGCCGTCGCGGAAAACAGGCCAACTAGGGGCAACTGGAGCCCTGCTGTGGGCAGCTTTGGACTTCCGCCCGGAACTTGTGTTAGTCCAGCACACCCGCATCTGGGAGGCACAGCCAGACTCTGGGCTCCCTGGCATACAGAACTAGGATGATGAGGCGGGGGGTCCCATCCCTGGTGGACAGCCGACTCTGCTGGGAGCTTGTGAGACCTCGACCCTAGCCCCGGCGGACTCTCAGGCTGGAAAGGGCTTCTTCTAGTGGCGCCTGGTCCCGAGATAGAAGTTAGGACTTGAGCACTTAAGGATAGACGGAGTCAGGCACTGCTGGGTCCCAGCCCGGATTCCTTTGCACCACCTGGCAGCCACATGCAACTGCCTGTCTGCCTGAAGTTCCATTTCTGCCATCAGCTACTTTGTATTGGGAGCAAAGGATGAATGCTCAGGGAGCACTGGGAGGCCAGGTCCACTCTTGCCACACTGTCAAACTGCTGGTCATCACGCTTAAACGCACAGCACACAAACACGGGAGGGCAGTCCTCTCTCTGCTCTGTCTTCCAAATCCACCTTTATCTATTAAGAGGAACTCTGGTTTCAAAAAGAAAAGCAAATCATAGCTGGGCGTAGAGGCACATGGTTGCCATCCCAGCACCACCCAGGCAAAGGAAGAGTGAGGCAAATTGAAGGCCAGCCTGGTTCTACAAGGCAAGCTCCAGGACAGTCAGGGCTATGTGACAAGACCCTGTCTCCAAACCAAACAAAAACGGGGGAAAAATCCAAATAGGAGTGTATTGTACAGATATAGATAGGTTACCAGGAATTTATCAGAATTTTCTCTCCATTTCTGCTTTTCGACTTACATCTGCTAGGGTTCTCTCCCTCTCCCTCTGCCTCCCCATCTTCTCTGCCAAAATGACAAAAGGTCTCACATTGAAGAAAGAAATTTAGATAAAACAAAGTGCACACACTGTCAAGGAAAAGATTAATAAATTTGACACATTAAATTGTAAAACATTAAAATTGAAAAAACTAACCCAATGGACTAGAAGAAAATATCTACAGGGAAAACTGAAAAAAAATCCATTCTGAATTTATGCCATTACTTTGTACACATAAAAATAATCTAATAAAAGAATAATAAAACTCATAAGCAGAGAAAGGGGAAAGGATGGCCAATAGTACACACTATGCAAATCGACTGAGATAGCACTTAACACTCATCAGATTATATTTTTTATAAAATATAAAAAATAGGTGGTTTTCCTGCATGTATGTTAAGTGCACCACATATGTACAATGCCTATGGAAGTCAGAAGACAGTGTTGCATCCCCTGGAACTGGAGTTACAGATGGTTGTTTGCCATCATATGGGTGCTGGTAACTGAATCCTGTTCCTCTACAAGAGCAGCCAGTGCTCTTAACCACTGGGCTATCTCTCCAGTTGCCATCAGATTATTTTTGAAAGTACAATTAGAGGCCAGAAGTGGTGATGCACACGCCTTTAATCCCAGCACTCAGGAGGCAGAGGCAGGCGGATCTCTGTGAGATCGAGGCCAGCTTGGTCTACATAGTGATTTCCAGGTCAACTGGGGCTGCAAGGAGAGCCTGACTCAAAAAGACAAAAAAATAAAATGAGGAACTGAGTTCCATCCCCAGAACCCACATAAAAAAAGCTGGGCATGGTGACCCACCCTTGTAATCCCAGCACTGGGGATGCAGAGAGAGGATTGCCGGGGCTCACTGGCCAGCAAGCCTCATCTAACTAATGAGTTCCAGGCCAGTGAGAGACCCTATCTCAAAAGAGAAGGTGGATGGTGCCGAAGGAACACCAAGGTTGACCTCTGGTCTCCACTCTCATGCACATGCACACATGCACACATACACACATACACACAAAGTACAACTAGAGGTGTTATCAATGGTGTGAACCAACAGACTTATCACCTTTAGGTAGAAGTACATTGGGACAAACACTAAGAAAAAGAACAAAGTCCTGTGGAAATGGGGCTCTTGACCTGCCAAACAAGATTTTTTGCTTCTAGTTGCATAATATACAGAAGCTCTCTTACATATCTTATCCAAGGAGGTATGTATAATCAGTATTTCAATTTTCAAAATATTGGGAATCAAAATGTCTGCTGATCCCCTGATAATATAAGACATACACTAGGGTTATTTATACAACAGGATACTGTTACCATTCAATAATCATAACAGGTGAGAATGAAAAGCTATCAAAATCATGTTGAATGAGAAAAAAACAACTTAAAAATTGTTTCATAGGCCGGGCGTGGTGGCGCACGCCTTTGATCCCAGCACTTGGGAGGCAGAGGCAGACAGATTTCTGTGAGTTCAAGGCCAGCCTGGTCTACATAGTGAGTTCCAGGACAGATGGGGCTACAAGGAGACCCTGTCTCAAAAAAAACAAAAAACAGAAAAATTGTTTCATACAATATCACAACACAGAGAGATCAACACCCAAGAAATACTACTTAGTGCCTATGAACACGTACACACATATGAAGGAAGCAGAAAAGCAGGAAGGCACAATAATCCTGTCCCCTGGGAGGGAAGCAAGCAAGCTCAGGGAGTCACAGGGCCCTTCATCACATCATCAATCCTTCTTTACCCCCAAAGTGACCCAGAACAAATATATGGGGGGAGGGTAGCGGAGTATGTGTGGTGTGTGCACAATGCACAAGCAGAGGAGGAAATCCATTTGGGTGCCCTATGCTCTGCCAATCTTACTCCCTTGAGACAGTCTCAGTGAACGTGGAACTAGGCTGATGATTGGCCCACAATCCCAGATCCTCCCATCTCTGCCCCCATAGCACTGGGGTTAAAGGCACATAAGTAGCCTTGCCCACCTTGTTTAGGTGAGTGCTAGAATGCAAACTCTAGTGTTCATTTGCACAGCAAGTGCTCTTAACCACTAAGCCATCTCTCCAGCCTGCAAATAGGTGATTTGGCATATGTCATTAAAGCAGACTGGATATCCAAACGCTTGTGATACTGATTGTAGCATTTTTATGATTGACGCAGCATACAACTTTATTATTCATTTATTTGAGTTTTTTGAGACAGGGTCTCCCTGTAGCCCCAGCTGACCTAGAACACATATTTAGACCAGGCTAGCCTCAATCTCACAGAGATCCACCTGCTTGATTCCAGAGTGCTTGGATTAAAGGCATCCACCACCATGCCTGACACATTTAATTTTAAATAATATATTTTAATTGAAAAAAATTAAGTCGATGATTAAAGGTTTTTTGTTTTTTTGTGTGTTTTTTCTGGGACCAAGATACTCAGTTTCAAAGTTCACACAAATTACTTACTCCAATGGGAAACAGCCTTTACATTGACCAAGTGATCAGACTGTTTCATTGACAACACAGATCCAAGCTCCTCAATGAGATATACTGAGGGTTCAATGTCAACTGTACAGTTGGATGCTGTCGGAAATATTTACCATGAATCTAATCAAGAACGGAAGCTTTTTCAAAACAGCTAATATGTCAACCTCCCTACTCCCTCAAGAATGGGCAGGAACTGTTTGCAAATAAAGATGACTAGAGAAGTAAATTAATGTATTTTGTGATTCTTACTTGTATCCTAAAAAGACCAAAAAAAAAAAGCTCTGGGGCCAGAAAGATGGCTTTGTGGTTGAAAGTACTGGCTGCTCTTCCAGAGGATCCAGGTTCCCTGTACCCACATGGTGGCTAACAACCATCCATAACTCCAGCTCCAGCGAGATCTAATGCCATCTTCTGGTCTCCATGGGCATTGCACAACAGGGGTACACTTAGATACATGCAGGTAAAACTCAAACACATAAAACAAAATTAACAAATATTTAAGTTCTACAGTACACTTTTAAGACAACTGGGCAAATTTGGATATGGATATAAAAATTTTGCATAATAGTCTTTGTCTTAAATGTATAAATATTAACAGAAAAATGTGTTTAATATTCATACTAAAACATTTGGGGGCAGAGAAATAGATAACTATAACTGAAGGAAGAATATATGCATATTAAAAAATAAAAAGCAAACGCACACACTTAACAACTGAGCTCCAGATACAAGATGGAGTTTACCATACTCCACTCCCAACTCTTCTGAAGATTCAAAAATTTTCAAAAAAACTTGCAAAAACAAGCATCCTAAAAAGACTAGACTGTGTATTTGTAGTTTGGATTACACAGATAAAACATAATTTGTCTACCAATTTATCAAAACTATAGTAATAAGCACAAGGAAGTGAACCTTTCTGGATTCCCAACCCCAGCATAACTGATTAACTCAGCACAAATAAATTGAAACCCTACATTAACATAGTATTTTTAAGGGATCAAGGAGTCTTTCCTTGAAATGCTAAAACTTTAAAAAATAACATATCTAAGCTAGGTGTGGTGGCGCACACCTTTAACCCAGCACCCGGGAGGCAGAGGCAGGTGGATCTCTCTGGTTCAAGGCCAGCCTGGTCTACATAGTGAACTCCAGGACAGCTGGGGCTACAGGGAGACCCTGTCTCAAAAAGACCAATAAACAAACAAACAAATAAACAAACAAACAAATCTAAAGCCTGGTTCTCTCCCCTTTGCTTGTCCAGCAACATGTAACATCCCTTCTCCAATCCCAAGTAAGGAAGCCCAAGTCAGGCCTTCCCCTTCTGTTAGCCTCTGCTGCAGCAAACAGCACTTTGGTCAGCAGCACTTCAGGCATCGTCCTTCTCACACATTTCATGGCCCCACTTCCGATGCAGTTGGCTGTACTTTTGGAAGAATTGATGAGAAAATAAGATGATGCTGGACCAGTGAGGTGGCTCACCAGGTAAAGGCACTTATTGCCAAGTCTGATGACCTGAGTTCAATCCCTGGAACAGACATGGTGGAGGGAGAGAACCAACTCTCCTAAATTGTCCTCTCAGTTCTGCATGCATACACACATATGAA